CCCAGGCAGATCACTGTCCCTCCTGGGTTCTAGAGTCCTTCCTCAGCTGCCAGCCTTATGATGTCCCTCCAACATGCAGAATTGGCCCCCTCTAGAGGCTGTACATACACCACACTCTTTAATTAATCCCAGGGTAGGAGGAGAGCTCCTCCAGGGAAAGGTGACAGATTGGGGGAGGGGGCAGAGGAAGTGAGCATACCCACACCCCTTCAGGGCCAGGAATCTGAGGCTCCTTCACTACGACCTCTATTCAGTGCAATGACCTTGAAACAGTGGGGTCCCACTTGGCTAAGATGAGATTGCATGTGGGTACAAAGGAGGCATTTGTGTGTGAGCACATGTGCATATAAGGGTACACCTCTATGTAAAATGCATTCCTATACATGCAACTGGGGATACTTCTGCATGTCTCTCCTATAAGGATTCAGGCTTGTTTCTTATATGCACAGTACATGTGTGTGCTCATGTGGCCCTGTGTATGTGTGGCTGCAAGTGTCCCTATGTGTGTGTCTTTGGCAGGTTGAGGCTGCATGGATATGTGTGCAGGTGTGTGTGCACATTTGAGGATCCATGTGCATGAGAATCTATGATTGCACCTGTGTGTGCACAATAACTGGCAAGAACAGACGTGCAGGGGTGTGTGCATGTGTGTGTATGTGTCCAAGTACATGTAAGAACATGTGTGTGAAGTAAATATAAGTGTGTACTGTGTATCACATGCATGTGCATCTAGAGGTGTTGGAGGGATGCAATTATGTTTGGAACCTGTGAATACACACAAGTGTACATTTGCACAGGGGAAGTGTGGACCATCCTCCAAACTGCCACCTCAGCCTCTGAGAGATAAGACATTTCCTCCATTCTCATCCCCACCTCTGTGCACTACTCACTGAAAACGATATCACTGTATAAACTCTGAAAATCTTATTTATTTACGTGTATATTAATTATTTTAGCAATTAGCCAGTCATTATAACCTTTATTTATTTTTAAAACAAACATGATTATATCACAGATGCAAAATTCAGATAGAATGTGAACAGAGGGGGCAGGGATTTAGCTCAGTGGCACCGCACCTGCCTCCCAATTGCAAGGTCCTGAGTTTGATCCCTAGTACCAAAAAGAAACCCTAAGAGTGGAGGGTTTCCCACCTCCTGCCTCCAGGGGGTGTGGGATAACAGAGCTATGTAAGTACACACAGGGATCAGAACGGAACTGAGAGGGAGGAGCCAGGGTGCTCAGTTGAGGTTCCTGCCTCAGTTTCTGAGGCTGTCCACCCCTGAACGCCATCTTCACTTCGGTGCAGGTTGGGTGGGTGAGAGGTTTATCAGACAGAGCCCTGGCCTGGAAATCAGGCAGCTCCAGAGCAGTCCCCACTCTGATGGCCTTGGGTAAACTCCTGCTCCCTTGGAACCATTGTCTCTTCTGTAGTATCCTAGACTCCTATTGCAAGAAAGCTCTAAATGCAAGCTCTGACCTGTGCCCTGTTTCTCTGCTAACCTCACCCCTGCCCAGGACAATTTTTACCTGCATTCCCTCTTCCTGCACTGCCTCCTCACCTCTCACAAACTTCTAACCGCCCATCAAAGCCTATGACTGGCTACACATCTGCCTATTTTCCTAACTGAACTTTGGACTCCCCAGAGCAATAACAGGCTCACAGTATTCCAGGGTCCCCACATCCCATGCCAACCTGGTTTAACACCAGTCAGTATTTGAAGATTGGAGATAAAGGGGGAAGACAAGGGAGGGTGGGGACTCCATGCACAGCAATGTTTGGGCCAAATAGCTCGTCGCTGGGTGCCTTCAGAGCAGTAAGTCAGCCTGATCCTTGCATGGAGAAGGGGAGAGAAAGCACCATTTATCAGTCTCCACCCCAGGCTTACTGTCTTTTATTATCACGGGCACCTGCAGGTAAGCAACATTTTTGTGCCATTTTATAGAACCTGACCCACCTCACCTGCCCAGAAGATAAGAAAGCCAGAACTCAAGTGCTGGCCTCCAGGGCCACTCTCAGGCTCTCTAGGCCCCAGGCTTTTATCTCCTTTGAGGAGCTCCCTCCCTCCCATATTCCTTGGCATTAAATAGGTCTCTGGGGCTCAGTCCCAGGGGCTGCTGAGAGTGCCAAAGTTCAGAGTTCATGCCTCAAGAGCAGCCCTGGTTGATGGATGGGTCATCTGGGTTGGTGGACAAAGGGCCCGGCTTCCTCACTCCTTGGGAGGGACATGCCAAGGCTGGGCCGAGGGGATGGTCCCAACTGGGTGAGGCCCTGGTTCCTTACCTGCTGCTCAGTAGCTCACCTGTATTGGCTTCTTCCTAGGTCTCACTTCCCACATCCCAGTGGCTTCTGGGCCTCCTAAAATACACAACAAACACACATTTTACTCTCAAGTCCTATTATAGTTTCCTTCTGGGGAGCCTCATGCAAGATGGGAGGCTATGTATGCCTTCAGCAGCCAAAAAACCCTTGTCCCAAAAGGGCCCTTGTCTCAGGGACAAGGGACTTCGTCCGAGTTAGAAGCAGCAGTGTGGAGCCCAGGCAAGCCAAGGAGCCTCAGCTGGGGAAATGCTCAGCAGCAGCCCCCATCCTGGCTGTGTGTGGCAGTATCAGGTAGAGCATGGGGTTGCATATGCAAAGGGAGAGGGGCAGGGTGTGAGCACATAGCCTTTGGGGAAAGGTCTGGGGGGGCCTGCCTGAAACTGCCCAAGCCCACAGCCTCCCAGGGGAGCAGGGAGGCTGTGGCAGCCCTGATGTGGGTCTGAGCAGCTCAGGGCCCTTCCCAGGACCTCAGTTTCCTGCTCATAAAGTGGTCCAGGGCCTGGGGTTAGTGAGGAAGGGAAGGAAGAATCTCAGGGCCTGCCCAGGGCTCCTGCTCTCCGGTCTTGCTGGCAGTCACCAACATACAAAACTCTTGAAGTGGGATTTTGCTCTTTGTCCCTACACACTTTGAGGAGGGGGTGTTTTTTAACCTAGAGGAATAAGTTCTGATGGTTGAAACTCAAGTGCTGAAAAAGACATGTTGACTTTGGGAGTGGCCTTCCCTCTACCTCCCAGGTCAACCCTAAGGCAGGCAGCCTCAGAAAGTGAAAAAAGCAGTTTTCAGAGCCAGATGGACTTGAATTCAAATTCATTCAGGGAAGTCCCTTAAACTTAGAGAAATTACTTAAACTCGCTGAGCCTCAGTTTCCTTGGCTGTGAAATGGGGTGACAATGTCCCATGGGCCAAGCAAGTATCTGCAATCTCTAGTCCTTAACCAGGGAAAACAGTAATTGGTTTCCACTGATAGAAGAGGCAATGGAGGCCCAGGAAGATCACTTGGCACTGAAGAAGCAGGCTTCCCTCAGTTGGGTAGACCTATTTAGCCCTTGTCCAGGAAGTCCTGGATCCCTCAATCCAGCTACTGCCTGGCCTGGGGCACTCCCCCACCAGCCTCTCTTGACTGGCTCAGCCCTGACCTAAGCATTACCCACTGGCACTTTTTCTATGCCTGGCCTGAAAGGCAGCTGGGCTGGGCCTACAGCGTCAGCCCTGCCTGGGATACCTTTGGCCTCAGGTATGCCAAGACCTGAGCCAGGAGATCAAAGGGATCAAACTACTGTACACTCTGCTCCTACTCCCTCAAGAAGCTCTCGGCCTCATAACACCTGGGGTAAGCAGGCATGCCTGGCTACGGGGGAAACAGGCCCACTGACTTCAACATGGAAGGGGAATCACACACCTCCTTGGTTATAAGTGAGGATCACACAGCAGAAAGGCTGAGGGTAGGAAGATAGGGAGACAAAAAAATTAAACCGAAGTGAACAATGAAACAATAGTTCTACTTCTAGGTACATATCCAAAACACATGCCTAGATATGTTCATTTTTTAAAAATATATACTAGAATGTACATAGTCACACATTTATGATAGCTCCAGTCAAAAGCTACCCAGAAACTCAGCAATAGTAGAAAGACTATATATTGAATCAGACCCGAATAAAACCACATAGATGACCTGACAAACCAAAAGTACAAAACTGAGTAGTATGTACCATCATATTCCATTTGTATGGTTTTAAAACAGGAAAAACCAATCTATGGTTTTAGAAGTTAGGAAAGTGCTTCGTCCTGGGAGGAGCAGTGACTGAAATGGGGTGGGGAGGCTCCTGAGGTCATGGTCATGATACCAGGGCTGATGGGGTCTGGGACAGGTTCCTAGGTTCTTGTGTGCAACAAAGAATCGGATGTGGCAGGAGGTAGCAAGGAAAAAGCAGCAGAGTTTATGAAGGTGATAGGACACCAGGGCAAGTGAGCTTATGCTTGCAAAAGGAAAAGAGCATGAGCACAAGGGCATAAGGTAGGGGATTAAAGCAGGCCAGTTCTGGGGCGTCTCCCCTTGGGTTTCTTCCAGAGCATGATTGACAACATGATTGACAAGGTGCTGAGTCATGTCAGCTGCCTCTGCCGTCTGTGTCTTTTCCCAAGATTCATCCTGTTATAATTGGATGTAGGAGATGCAGTCCATATGCATGAACCTTCAGTGAGCTCCAGGTGACAAAAGGTTACTGCAGGTCATGGCAGCAGGTCTGGTGCACACGGGTCCCGGTTTGAAGTTTGGGAATTTTCTAGGGCATGCTTGAGGGTCTTTGCTTTCCTCCATGTAATAAGCCTTAGAGCAAGGTTGAAGGGGTGGCCCTGGGCATTGCACAGATTCAAGTGAGTGGAGGTAAGCAGACCCATAACACCAGTTGTACTATCTATATTAGTCATGTTCTGTTTCTGGCTCTAACTGCAAGCTATATGAGTGCTTTCAATTTGTGAAAATTCATTAAGCTATATACATTTATGATTTATATTCTGTACAAATATTATGCTTTTGAACTCTATACAAATTAAATCTTAAGGCATGTACTCTGTGTCTGGCTTCTTTTGCACAACATTTCTGTTGAGAGTCATTCAAAAACTCAATGTAATGTTCACTTCATTGCTGTATAATATCCCATTGTGTGAATATCCCACCATTTGTTCATTCTACTGTTGATAAATTTCAGCTGTTTCCAGTTTGGAGCTGTAAGAAACAGTGCTACTTTGAACATTTTGCATCTGTCTTTTGGTGAACATACATATGCATTTCTGCTGAGTGTATGCCTGGGAGTGAAGTCGTTGGATGATAGGGTAGATAACATATCTTCAGCTTTGTTGATACTGAAATACAGTTTTCCAAAATGTTCTGTCAATTCACATTTCCATCAACTGTATATGGCAGTTTCCTCTTGGCCATCCCAGTAAGCATGAAATGGTGTTGTACTGTGGTTTAAATACTGTGGTTTAAGTTGTACTGTGGTTCAAACTGTGGTTTAAGTCAACTTCCTAATGAAGTTGAGCACTTGTCCTCATTGGAATTGCCAAGGAGCAGACCCTGAGACACAAAATCAAGAATAAGAAGTTTATTTGGCAAGTGTGCTATTCTGCCTGGGCTGTCATAACAAAACACCTCGAAAGGGGTGGCTAAAGCAACAGAAATTTATTTTCTTACAGTTCTGGAGGCTGGAAGTCCAAGATCAAGTTCCAGCAGGGTTTCGTTGGTCTGGTGGGCCTCTGCTTGGTTTGTGCACAGTCTCTCTGTGTGTCTTCATATGGCCGAGAGAGAGTGAGAGAGAGAGAGAGAGAGAGAGAGAGAGAGAGAGAGAGAGATCTCGTGCCCCCTTTTTATAAGGACACAAATCCTACTGGATTAGGCCTTCCCTTTATGACTCCAGTTAACCTTATTTACCTCCCCAGATAGCGGTAATAATCTCCAAACATGATCACACTGGAGGTTAAGGGGTTAAGGCTTCAACATAGGAATGGGGAGGGGGATATACAAATCATCCCAGAGCAGCAAGCTATCCTAGGAAAACTCAGACAGGAGTGAGGAAGGGAGATGGGCCAAGGAGGAGCCCAGCATACAAACAAGCCAGCTGCCATCATGAACATCGGGAGTGCAATCCCAGGGGAGACTGGGAAATCGTGTCAACTGCACCCCATGGAGCAAAAGAGCTGGATTCTACACCAACTCCTGTTAGTCATGAGTTGAGGGTACTTCAGGGTGAGTGTGAATGTGTGTGTGGGGGGGGTCAAGTTAACCCCTGGCCCTGTGGCTGGGCAGCCTTGCCAGGGTCTGCGATCCCCTCAGCACTCACAGCAGCACTGGGCATCTCCACTGCTACTCACCAATGGAGTGGCTGCTCGTGGGGTGCTGGGTTTGAAGGGTAATCAGTGACTGGCCAGGCAGGTAAGGGCATTCCAGAAGGGGCCAAATGTGGATAAAGGTCCAAGGGGGGAGGCACAGTGTCTAGCCTGGAGATACAGAAAGAAGGGAGCGATGTGAGATTGAAACAGGGGCCAGCAGAGACCCCACGGTGAAGGTCAGATGGGATGGTTTCCTCTTGGGAGGCCCTGGAGAGGGTATTCCAACAGTGTGCTTAGCTGCTCAGAAACCCGAGCTGGGCTCTGACCCTAAGGCCATCTTAGAGTGTTGTCTTCCAGCACCCCCTCCAGCCTCTTGACTGCCCCCCTTCCAGCTCCTGGCACAGAAGCACCCCAAAAGCCAAGAATACCTTCGGCAGCCAGGAGACACAGACACTCCGCAGCAGAGAGAATCCATGGCAAGCCTGAGCCCCGGTGAACAGCAAGGGCAAAGAGGCCAGGAGTCCCAGGAAGGCAAGTGCTCCTCTCTTCCTCAGAGCCCAGGCCACCAGTAGAAGGCAGAACCAGGGTCGGAGCTGACCCCTGAAAAACTGCCAGAGAAGTAGCTCAGAACAAAAGCCATAAGTTCTATTCCCAGTACTGCAAAAAAAAAAAAAAAATTAAATTGAAATTTTAAATAAAGGTGTTTTAGTCAGCTTTTCATTCCTAACTACCTAAGATAAAACAATTTAAAAGAGGGAAGATTTATTTTTGTTCATAGTTTCAGAGGTTCTAGTTCATGGTTAACTGTCTCCATTGCTTTCAGACCTGTGGCAAGGCAGAATCATCATGGCAGAAGAGCATGATGCAGGAAAGGTGCTCACCTCCAAGCAGCCAGGAGGAGGAAAGGGTAAGGCAGAGCCAGGGATTTAGCTCAGTGGTTCCACTGCCTGCCTTGAAAGTGCAAGGTTCCGAGTTCAATTCCTGATGAAAGAAAGAAAGAAAGAAAGAAAGAAAGAAAGAAAGAAAGAAAGAAAGAAAGAAAGAAAAAAGAGTAAGGCAGCCAGAGAGGAAGGGGCCAGGGATGACAGATATAGTCCCCAAAGGTCCACTCCCTTCAACTAGCCTCCACTTACCATTTCCATCGCCATCGTATTATGATATCATCAATGGATTAATCCACTTGATAAATTTAGAACCCTTGTAATCCATTCACTTCCCAAAGAACTCATCAGCTATCAGACAAGCCTTTAACACATGAGTTTTAGGAAACATTTCAAATCCATAACAAAGGATCTGGTTAAACAAAGTGTATGTAGTACATGGAGTTTTTAAAGTAAGGTAAAGGTAAGATATACTTTCATAAAAAATATTTGAGGGTTAATCTTGGTTGTCAATTTGAATTAAGAGTCACCTAGAAAATCAGGAAAGCAGACTCCTGTCTGTGAGGGTGTTTCCAGAGATGAGTGGCATGCGGGGCCAGTGATCTGAGAGGGGGAAGGCTGTTATTCAATAGGCTTAGGCCAGGATAGACTAAAAAGCAGAAGGGGAATTTCACATACGCACAAGCTCAAATCCTCTTGAAATGATAAATTTTTCTGATGTGGACATCAGACTCCAGATTCTTCAGCCTTTGAATGTGAATCCACAGCGACCACTTCCAGAGAACTTCTAGGCCTTCAGCCTCTGACTGGGGCTGCATCCTCAGTGCTTCTTGTTCTGAGGCTTCCAACTTCTTGGGCTGAGCAGTTGCTGGTTTCCCCCGCTGTCCAGCCTGCAGATGGCCATTGCAGGACTATCCGGCCTCTGATCATGTAAGCTAATCTAACCAGGTGTGATCAAAAAATACAGTACTTGCTGCTGCCAAGTACCCTCCAATAGAAGGGCAGAGATCTTCATATGAGAAGCTAGCTATATAGCAAAACTTTGTAACAACGTGTGACAAATTTCAACTTGGTTGGGGCAGCAGTTTGTTGTGAGCTACAACTGAGAGAAGGTGTATTTTAAAGTGCACAGTAAATCATGGATTACAGTGAATTAACATAAAGTTTTGTCAACTTCACTGGAGTTGCACCATCGTGCTGCTTCAGATTCCAGCATTTCGGAAGTGCCATCATAGGAGATGAAACTTGGTCTATAGTTATGATCCTGAGACCAAGATTCAGAGTTCTCAGTGAAAATCACCTCACATGAAAAAAGCGCATCAATCAAGATTCAACATCAAGGTAATGTTGATTATGGTTTTCTTTCTTTCTTTCTTTCCTTTGATGGAATCATGTGAGCTGAGTGTGTACCCAGAAACACCACAGTGAACTCTGAATATTATAAATGCTTATCAGGCCTGGTCTGGTGGTGCACACCTGTAATCCCAGCACTCAGGAGGCTGAGGCAGGAGAATCACCACAAGTTCCAGACCAGCCTGGGCTACACAGTGAGTTCAAGCCTGGTCTGAACTGCATGGCAAGACCTTGTCTCAAAAAAGATAAGGACTTATTAGAACATATAAAAATTATGTGTGTAAAAATGACTTAAATGGGTAATGGTATCATCCTCTATCATGACAATGCTCTATGTCACACATGGCTTCTAGTATGGAGATTTCTGTCAAATAAAAATATTATGTTGTGTCCTCACCCACCTTATTCACCAGATCTGGAACCATGGAACTTCTGGCTCTTCCTCAAAATCAAAATGACCATGAAAAGTAAGTGTTTTGAATTAATTCAGGTCATCAGATTAGCCACAACAGCACAACTAAAGACACTCATGAAAGAGGACTCCCAAAACTGTGTTAGAGGGGCTGGAGACTTAGCTCAGTGGGACCCCACCTGCTTTGCCAGTACAAGGTTCTGAGTTCCATCCCCTGTACTGCAAACAAAACAAAGCAAAGCTGCTTTAGAAAGTGACAAGAACAATGGGACAAGTGTGTTTGAAGAGAGGAGGAGTATTTTGAGGGAGATTCATGGTAATGTGTGTTTTATTGTAATAATTTTTTAATTTAAACATTCAGCACATTTTTATATCACACTGAGTACATTCTATTGGTTCTATTCTTCTAGAGAACTCTGAGTAATAAAAAACATGTCTTTAATACAAGAAAGGTAGTCCAGAATCTACAGAATAATATGTATAACATATACTCATCTTTAATAAATAAAAACTGAAAGCCCTACCATTTGTGGGAGATACCACTTATATATTAGATGTGTGCTAGCGGCAGGGGAGGGGATAATAACAATTGAAGGAAATTTATTCTCTCTGGGAGAAAGATTCAGTTGATATAAGCTTGAGTTCTGAATCAGACATGTTTGAGGTGATTTCTGTGAGCTGGAAGCTAAGTGTTGTCATAATCTCTTTGCTGTCTTAGTCCATTTTCCATTGCTATAACAGAATATCAGACTGGATAATTTCTAACAAAAGAAGCTTAATTTTTTCAGTTCTGGAGTTGGGTAGTCCAAGGTCAAAGGTCCCCATCTGGTAAGCACCTTCATGCCTCATAACATGGCAGAGGGTATCACATGGTGAGAGAGAGAGAAGAGAACATATGCCAGAGAGGGCTCACTCTTATCATAAAGGCACTCCCACAATAACAAATGGCATTCATCTAATCATGAGGTGGGGCCCTCATGACCCAATCACCTCCCAATATCATCACAGTGGCAATTAAATTGCAACAGGAGCTTTGGAGAGGTCACTGAAATTATAGCATTCTGCCCATGACATCCCCCCCCCCCACACACTCATGTCCCCCTCACATACCAAATACATACCTTTCATTATAATGGTCCCCAAGTCTTCATTCATGCCAGGATCAACTCAAAATCCAAAGTCCAGAGTCTGGACTCTGGACTCAAGGTGGGACTCAAGGTATGATTCATCCTAGGGTGAATTCCTTCCAGTTGTGAGCCTGTGAAATAAAAACAAGTTCTCTACTTCCAGAATAGAATGGTGGGAGAGATATAGGATAAAAATTCCCATTCCAAAAAAAGAGAAATATGCAAGAAAAGAGGGGTAACTGGTCTCAGGTAAGTCCAAAACACGACCAAGAAAATGTCATTACACCTTAAGGCTTAAGAATAACTTTGATTCCATGCCTGGCTTCCTAGACATCCTGGTGCAGAGATTGCCCCCCACCCAAGGGTTGTACCCTGATGGGTTTGCTGTGGTGTGCCCAGGCAGCAGCTCTCGTGGATTGGAGTCTCATGCCTTCTGTTCTCCTAGGGATGGCACTGCATATTGGTAGCTCCACAGTTCCAGTGTCTTGACAGTAACCCCATTCCTGCAGCTCCACTAGATATTGCCCTACTAGGAATTCTCTGCCAGTGCCTCTACTGTGGCACGTTTCTGCCTGGGCTTCCAAGGAGTCTGCAACACCCTTTAGAATCTAGGTAGAAGCCTCCATGCCCCATACTCTTGAGTTCTGCACACCTACAGAGCCAGCCCCATATGGACATGGCCAACACTTACTTCTTGTGCCTGTTGGAGCAGCCAATAGAGTCCCAAAGTAGTCCTGGGCAGGGAGCCTGTGGAGGGCACCCTGGTCCTATTCTCCAAAAAAACATCCTACCTTCCCAGAGTTCTGGGCCTGTGATGGGAAGGTTAGCCTTGAAGATCACTGAAACGCATTTAAGGTCTTTCTCCCATTTTCTTGAGAAATAACATCCATATGCCTTTGAATCGGATGAATTTTTTTTTTTTTTGAGACGGGATCTTGCTATGTAGGTCAGACTGGCCTTGAACTCACTATATAGCCCAGGATGGCCTCGAATTTGTGGCAATCCTCCTGCCTCAGCCTCCTGAGTGCTGGGCTATAGGAATGCATCATCACTCCTGGCCAAGTCAGATTAATTTTTAACAAAAGGATCAGTATTCTCTCTCTAATGTGCTTTTTCAATCCTTAAGTAGCTGGGCTGGAAAGTTTCTAAATCTTTTCTCTTAATTATAAATTCTGTCTTTAAATAGTTTCTTTTCTCTCTTATTCCACCATAAACAGTAAAAGGTAGCCATATACAACTTCTTCACCATTTTGCTTGGAAGTGTCTTCTCCCAGACACAGTGGTTCATTGTTCTTAAGGTCTGCCTCCCACAATGCCTCAGGCCTTGATGCAAGGTCTTTGAAACTATAGACCAAGGATGGCTTCTACTCCAGTTTCCAATATCTGTTCCTCATCTCCACATGAGATCTCATCAAGATTGTCTCGACTTTCCATATTCCTGCCAGTACTCTGGTCGTGACCACTTATACAATCTCTAAGAGTTTCAGACTTTCCCTGATCTCTGAGCCCCCACAGAATCACCCTTAATGCTCCATTCATGATAATTTTGGCTTTTTCTACCCTGTTCCTCTAGATTCTTCCAGCCCCTACCCATTGCTCCATCCCAAAGCTACCTCCCCATTTCAGGTGCTTATTGTACCAACTGCCTCACTTCTCAGTACCAACTTCATCTTAGCCCATTTTCTGCTGCTTTAATAGAATAATACAGAGTGGAGCCAGGGATTTAGCTCAATGGTTCCATCACCTGCCTTGCAAGTGCAAAGTCCAGGGTTTGATCCTTGGTACAAAAAAAAATACAGACTGGACAGTTTATAAGAGAGAGAAATATATTTCTCAGTTCTGGAGTGTGGGAAAGCCAAGATGGGAAAGCCACAAC